AAAATGTTAATTGGTGCTTTTAAATACTATCTCACGGAAAGTCCTCCCGCTCCTTCCAGGCAGCAAAACATATAAAAATACATGAAAAAGGTAATATTTTCACTATTGATTTTACTGGCATGATTTTCTTATGAATAATGGGGATGGAATATTATAAAATCCCAAGAGGCTGCTCATCCCCAGCAATAACATCTTTGGTGTCAGGGGCTGCAAGTGTATTTTGTATTGTTTCCTTTCCCCTAGTCAAGATCTCCTACAGTGTGGGGCAACCACGGAATCATGGAACTAACTGTCCCTAAGGCCCACACAAAGCTCTGTCATGTAGATACCATTGCTCCTGCCTCTTTGGACCCCCTCTCCAGCCCCTTTCTTCTGTTTTCAGACTCTCATGTAACCTCTTGCCCTGACAATCTCACTACCCTTTATATCTGACTCCTGCTTGCGATCTCTTCTCTCTTGAATTCATTGTCCACACGGATGCCAGAGTGGTACTTCTGGAAAGGATCTGGTGTCCTTGCCCTGCTAATGCCAAGTGCTTTTCCAGACATCTCATATCTCCTGCTCGCTCCTTGCCTGGAGCCCTGTCTGCATCCTCTCCTATGAGCTGTGCCAGGTGGGGAGACAGTGTGGTGGGTCACAAAGGCCACATCAAACAATTACCTTCCTTTGGGAATGTCACTCACTTGCTAGAAACTCACGTCCTTCTCTTCTTGGCTCATTCTCTAAGAATAAGCTTCGGGGAGGGGTAAATTAAGAGTTTGGGATTAGCAGATACAAACTACTATGTATAAAACTGATATACAATAAGGTTCTAATGTACAGCACAGGGAACTACATTCAATGTCTTATCATAACCTATAATGAAAAAGAATGTGAAAAAGAATATATATATATATATTACTGAATCACTGTGATGTACACCAGAAACTAACACAACATTGTAACTTCAATAAAAATAAATAAATAAAACAAAAATAAACTCAGCCAAAAAAGAAAGAGAGTAAGCTGCTTCTACAAGCAGCCTTCAGTCATCGTCCCCGCAGCTAATTATTCCCTCTTCTGTGATTCTGCTACGCCTTGTTTACACCTTCACAGTAACCCCAGCTCAGGCCAGCTTCTGTTACGGCTGAGACCTGTGTGTCTCTCCTCCCACAGGGCACGAGCTCTTTGAGCACAGGAACCTTGCCTGG